TCCACAGTGAGATGGGCGGTGACAAATTTGAAATATAAATAAATAAATAAATAAATAAATAAATAATATAGACATTTTAAAAAAGGCCAATGATAACAACTAAAAAGTAAACTGAAGCTGTCTCATTAAATAGTAATCCTAATTTGGCCAAGGACATTAGAGTGGTTTTAGTCTGCCATAAACTTTTTCTCATTAACTTATCTTTGTAAAGTATATAAGAGGGATTAACACTGGAATCCTTCTTAAAATATGCATTTTAATCTCAAAATAATACTCATTTTTGATAACATTACTCTTGCCCTAAAGACTTAATGGGAGTTTTAACCATCAACTTATAACTACTGAAACTGCATCTATACATTTAAACATATATCATTCAACATTTTGTGATATATTTTGAAAAAGATATAAAGCTAAATATTTCATAGAATTTGTACAAATTGTAAATCCCAATCTCTGACAGTAATCTCTAGTTACAGCATATTCCAAAGGCAGCAAATTAGATTTGTTCCAATTAATGGCATAATTATAAACCCAATTGCTATATGATTTCAATAAGATTTGGTAATGATACTGCATAATTATCAAGGATAGTCATAATATCATCCACATAAGGACAATTTATATCAGTGTCAAGTGCCTCCACACCCTTAATATCTTGAGGCTGGCTGATACAAGAAGCTAATGGTTCAAGACACAAAAGGAACATTAAAGGAACAAAGAGAATCTTTCCCAAATGCCACAATATAACTTGATAGATTGAGAAACCAGTCCATTCATAACTCGAGCAAGTTCATAACTGATTATTAGTGCTTTGGAGCACTACTGTATTCTGTCTTTCTAGTGTTATCAATTTCTAGTTCTAACATATTCAGACTATTTGCTAAAATGCAAGTGACATAAGATAAAATGCATGACCTTAATGTAAAGGTGATAGAACAAGCATCAACAATTCAGCTCCAGTGACATTAGCAAAGAAAGCCAACATAATAGAACAGTACTTCTCAACCTTGACAACTTGAAGATGTGTGGACTCCAACTCCCAGAATTCTCCCATGGCTAGGGAATTCTAGGAGTTGAAGTCCACACATCTTCAAGATGCCAAGGTTGAGAAGCACTGTAACGGAGTGTGAGATTGGAACTGAGGAGAACCAAGTTAAAGTTTTCATGCCCCATGCAAATTGGTGATCTCAAGTACCATCTCTCAATCCAGTTTACTTGTGAGAATAAAAAATGATGAGTAATCCCAAGTATGAGAGAGAGAGTGAGAGAATACAATTAAACTATGTATGTCATATAACGTTTGGCTACTTAAATTTCTTAAAAAACCATGGTATTTTCAACACTTCCAGTTTCATAGTGAATCTCCAAATGTTTAGAGAACGATAGCACAATATTTCTTTTAAAAGATTACAGGGGTAAAAATAAGTGATACATTTTTCTAAACAGTGCAGTTTCAAATTATGCAGCTGATCAATTACACTAAAAAGTACATTTAGCAGTTTTAAAGTTCTCATAGGATTTGTAGAACATTTAAAAAACCAAATCTTCTGTAAGTTAAATAAAATGTGGACTCTTTAGCATTTATTTATTTATTTATTTAAATATTAATTAAATTTGTATGCTGCCCATCTCCCCCAGCAGGTGACTCTGGGTGGCTCACAATTAAAACCCAAAACTCAAGCAATTAAAAAAAAACCCATATAAACAATTAAAATTAATTAATCAATTAAAATCCTACTATAAAACAACCCTATACATAAATACTAAAAAACATTCAAGATGACGAGCGGGGGGGCAAGGTCAATTACCCCACAAGCCACTTCCACTGGTGGGAGCCCCCATCCAGCCCCTAGGCCTTCTGGCATAGCCAGGTTTTCACGCCTTTCCTGAAGGCCATGAGAGTGGGGGCACACCACACCTGCTTTGGTGTGTTCCAGGTTGTTCCAGAGAGCGGAGGCCACCACATAAAAGGCCCTCTTTCTAGATCCCACCAGTTGAAATTCCTTGACTGGTGGGGTCTGCAGCATGCCCCTTCTGCTGGACCAAGTGGGGTGGGCTCATATAAAAGGGGTGAGACAGCTCCTCAGATAACCTGGTCCTGTGCCATGAAGAGTTTTAAAGGTGATAACCAACACCTTGAATTGGACCCGGAAGCAAACTGGCAACCAATGCAGCTCACGCGACAGTGGTGCTATATGTGCACCCCTGGGGGCATTCAGAACTGTCCGCGCCGCCGCATTCTGTGCCAGCTGTAGCTTCCAGATACTCTTCAAGGGTAGCCCCACATAAAGCGCATTGCAGTAGCCCAACTGGGAGGTGACCAGGGCATGAGTGACTGTGCGGAAAGCCTCCCAATCGAGGAAGGAGCATAACTGCCGCACAACACAAAGTTGCGCAAAGGACCTTTTATGCTCTGGCTTCTTTAAGATATTGAGACACACAAAAAATTAGGACTGGGGTGGAGATTAATATTAAAATACATTGAAAATTTAGTACTGAAACAAAGAATTGACATGTCGGTGTTAAACTGCCATCATCATAAATGCTATTAAAGCTTGTTGATATATTAACATAGGTGTGTACAATTTAGCTATCTGATTCCTAATTCTTGAGGACTACAGATTTTAATATAACTAATAAAAGAACAATGAGCCTAAATATAAGGGACAGATGAACTGAATGATACAAAAAGGATAAAAAGATTGTTTTATGCTACACAATTTGTTATATAATCTGGGTATGCTATTAATGGCAAACTCAACTATCAAAAACATTAAGTAGCCTGACCAAAATATAAAAATCTACAAAAAAGCTAGAAAGTCAGCTGGGTAAAGGAAGGAAAAAGCAACTACCCCATGAACCCTTCCAAATTAAAGATGAAAACACTGGATTTTCTTTAGCAATTTATGATACTCATAAAGTATCACTGAGATATCATTTTAAGCTGTGGTGAATTGAAAAAGGGGGCTGAGTTGTTACATCTCCAACATTCGAAAATAAATCTATGAGTAATATTTCAAAAATGTTTTAGCCTTACCTGTAGAAGGGCTGTGAACAAATATACCACTATGAAGATGGGGGTCAAAGATGTGTGACCGCTCTTCATTAAATGGATAGTGTACAAAAATATCAAATGCCCAGGAATCACCAAGAGCAGAAGAACTCGAGCTGATTTATTGTTTACTCCTGCAAACAGGAATAAGGAACACTTTTTGTCAGTACGAAGGCTACTGATATTTTCTTTGGCTACTAAGATGACCTTATTAGTTCATTAACTTCTGTGGTTCTGGAAAAGAAATACTGTAACAGGAAATAAAACATAACAAACATAAAAGAAGTCACTGGAGGGAAAAGAAGGTACCGATAATGCTTGGGTACATTTGGTTTAATATATCATAATGCCTGAATCATTATCATGTGCAGCATATTGAAAAACAAGAGAACTGACTTCTTGAAATATCCTGGGCTTAATGATGGAATGACATTTTACCTTCATGAAACAATTCCAGTAAAGGCTTTTCTATGCACACTGCAGAAACTAAGAAATCAATGAATTTTCTTTTTCTGAAAATTCTCTCATTGTGGGACTAACACTTTCTAACTAATGCTCCTTACTACATTTACTGCTTTTTTTTAAATGACAGTCCTACAACCCTTGAGGGGAAAAAATGCAAACAGGAAGAATGAAATAGAGGCATTTATTCAATGCTTTTTGTTTGAATACTTGCTTCTAATAAAGGTAATGTGCTATATGCAGTACAGTCTGTAGAACTCCAAAAAAAACCTGAAATAAGTCTGCCTATCAATATCTTTAGCCATAGTATTTGCTTAAAGTATTAAAAAAGAGCATCTGGGAGAGAAAAATCAGAATGTAAAGACAAGTCAACATAACATGTACCTGTGCCACAATATGTTCTGCATGGATAACAGCAGCCTTTGGCTTCTTCTGGTAATTCTCCAGGAACACTATGTAAATGTAAGTAAGTAGAAATTCTGCTTGCTTGAATTGCTACCAGATTACCACCAATACCTATATAGAAGAGGCAGGAAAAATACCACTATTTATTAATGATTAGGCAATAAGGTTAAAAAGTAGATTTAATACATTTTCTTGTATCTCCTTACCTACTATATTGTTCCTGCCATACTCAATACATAACATGAATATACACAAACTGTACCTTATTGCTTCGTGACTATTAGCCAATGGCTTATTACTGTTGCCAATGTATTTATTTAATGACAAAAGTATAGTAGGAGCTGCATGGAAGAGGGAAACTATACCAGGGGAATCGGATTAAAAATGCATTGTATTTATAAAACAGATCCTAGTCTAATATGGTAAAAGTAGGGAACTAGTGCAATGTTATGCAGTGAATATGATTGCTGGTCCTGGATATGAAAATCTAACTTGATATGGTGCAAAACGTCTTTGGTGATTTTAACAGCCTCTGCCCATGTCTAACCCATCTTTTCCCCATCTGGTTCCCTTTAGATGTGATACAACTATTGCTGTCATAATCCCCAGACTGTATCAACACATATGGAATGCACATTGTTCAGAAAGGCCTCATCTATCTATAGTTGGCTCTTAAACAATACTTAGCTCTCTGGAGAAATGTATCAATATTAAATATTCTCACCAGGTACTTATTAAGGATATATTAATTACTTCCTCTGCACTGGTTCTACAGTATCAAGAAGCAATACCAAAAACCTTCTCTTCAGTAGCTCACCTGTCCTGCAGGTGTAATTCACTTCCAAGATAATGACTATGATAATCCCTCAAGAATTCTTTGCTACATTTCAAAGTATAGAAGGAATAAGGGAAGAATGCTTAAAGACTGGCTGTGAAGATTATTTGGGGTTTTTAAAGCCCTTTTGCGATGAAATAAATGCAATACAATAATTGTAGGAGTGCATTCTTTGACAACAATTGGCGAGCAGGTATGCAGCTCATTCCACTAAATTGCACAGAAGGATAAGAAAGAAGTTTGCAACGTAGCTTCATTTAGGGAATAAAAAATGATCAGACTGGTTGGGATTGAAGTTGCATTCAAAGGACCTGGGAGATAAGGAAGATAAGACACAGGGAACAACAAAACAAGGAAGCTGAAGAAAGAATGCAGGCAACAACACATTAAGAAATAAGAATCTAAGGGAAGGTAGATGAAAGGGAAGGAGATTTGAAGAAAAATGAGGAAGGGAGAAGATGTGAATGCACATAAGGGCAATGTTCCAGGTATAAAGAAACAAAAGAGATGGCCGATAGCCAGGATACTAAATAAGGACGTGAAATCTACCACTGGCTTGAAGTTAAGGCAGTTAAGAAAACAACTGATGACACAGACCTAAAGAACAGGTGAAACCAAGAAGGAAACAGGATGGAAGCCTGTGGGCCTACAGACAGGAGCTGATCGGTATAAAAAGTGGACAGGTGGGAAAGAAACCCAACAGAACATAAGGTCTAACTACAGCTCCCCCATATAATCCACATATCTAGAGGGCACTTGGCTGAAAAAAGGCTGATGGAAACCTCAACACTGGGAATTCTGCCATAATGGGCAGTAATACAGAAGTAATGGTAGTACTTTGTGCATAGCATGAAACTATATAAATATTTGGAGGAAGATAGCCACTATGGTATGAATAGTCAGTCTATTCGAAGCCCCTGATGGTTTGCATCATACTGCAGCCTTTCTCAACCTTTTTACCCTAGAGGAACCCTTAAAATAACCCCGGCATAAAAATAACAAAGAATACAAAAGCTCACATTACAATTCACTTCTAATTTACACAATCCATGTTTTGCAATGTTCACAGCAACAGCAACGTGGCAGGTCAGCAGCTGAATCATGGCACCTAAAAATTCCCACCACTATGAGCACTAGAATTGTGCAATGTGCAAAGTAAAAAAAAAAAGCAATGCCCCCCCCCC